ACAGCTGAACCAACACCTACATGCAAAGAAGTCCAAGCGGCGAAGGAGGGAAAGCTTTCTAGGCAGTGGGATCGGTCTGTGCAAAGGCTCTGAGGCAGGAAATGCTTAAGGTCTTTTCTGGGGAACTGAAAGTTCTGAGGAACTGAGAAGGCCACGTGGCTCAGAGGCTGTGAACTTGCTTGAGACGAGGCTGGAGCAGCAGGCCGGGCTTACCAGCCACGTACGGAAGCCCCTGAGGGTTCTGAGCAGGAGAGGCACAGGACCGGGTCAGTCGGGCTCTCTTGGAGAGTGGACTGGAGGGGGCAAGAAGAGAATTAGAGACCAGTCAGGAGGCTACTTGGGAGGTTTGAGTGCCAGATGGTTGGTGGCTGTGGTGATGGAGAAAAGGAGGTGGATTTGAGACATGGTTTGGAGGTCCTATTGCTAGGACTTAGTGACTGGGATGTGGGGAGTGGTGACAGGGAGGTGACAAAGGTGGATTTCTGGCACGAGCAGCTGTGTAGATGACGGTGCTTACAGCATCCACCTTTTGAAGGGTTTTGTATCCCTAAAATTTCTTTTTCTTTTGAGGGATTTTTTTTTCTATAGGGCACAAGCACTCACCAGAAAGACAAAGAGAGGCAGAGAGACAGAAAGTGAAAAATCACCCCCCGGGGAAGATGGCCACGCCACAATCCCTTCTCCTGGGATCTGCTGGTCCCTCCCTAAAATTTCTCACATGAGGGACCAGCAGTTGGCATAATGACTATTTTGCTGGACTCCCATGTAGTCGATCATGGTTCGAGTCCCCGATCCGGTGGCTTAAACTCACGCTGGGTGAGTGTGTGTGTGCTCAAGATCCTGAGAAGAGAATGAAGGAGAAGGGATTGCAGCGTGGCCATCCCCTCAGTGGGGGGTGGGGGGTGGGGGTGATTTCTCGCTTTCTGTGTCTGTGTCTCTGTCTCTCTTGGTCTTTCTGGCAAGTGCACGTGCCCCATAGTAAAAACCTCTGCCCCCCCAAAAATAAATAGTTTTTCACAGGAGATCTCCACCTTACCTCTCAGTACAACCACCCTGCCTCCAAGTCATTGTATCCCCTGTCTAGGTGGCTGCTCCTTCACATTAGTCTCCCTACCCCTTGTCCAGTCCAACTTCAAATCACCCCCCCCACGGCATCCTCTTCCTAAATACCGCTTCTGCCACATTATGCTCCATTCAGAAACCTGCACTGGGTCCTCGCTAAAACTTAAAACTCCTTGCCATGGTGTTGAAGGCTTCCCAGCCTTCTGGCTTTATTCCCGGCCTGCTGGCCCCCCCCTCGACGGCCTAGACCACTGTTGTTCATTGCACGCCCCACACCCCTGCCTCAGTGCCTTTGCTCACACCACCCCTTAGATCTTACTATCGCAATCTACGGAGACTTTACTCAACTGCCAAAGTTCACTGTCGAGGAAATAGCCCATCTCTAAGTCTCTTAGAGCACTTTGGTTCTGGCTCACTTTTGACATGATTAGGGTAATTATCTCAGGCCCCTTCCCTACCTGATAAACCACAAGACTTTGGCGTGCATGGCTCTATTCCATCCCCTCCCTTGCCCTTGTAGCCAAAAACACTGCTTCACCTACAGTAGGTACACTCTATTTACTCGGAACGATTTATATTACTCATGAAAGAGTGAGGAGACCTGAGTTTTTGAAGGGGAAATGCTTCCTAGCAGCACTGCCAGCCCCAGGGCTTGTAACACAAGATTCATCTTTACCACCCTCTTACCACGCGCTTGCGATCATGCACAATGCACACACGCCCCTCCCAGAGCCTTCTGGCTGTCCAAAGGACTCCGACACAGCGGTCCACGTCAGCGCACTCCTTCCTTGAAGTGCTGAGCATCGAAAATTACAGCCTCTAACTCATGATTTTTCATACTGCTTGTTGTAACTTATTAATGGGCTATGAAATCATTTTAGTGAGTCATAAACAATACTAAAAAAAAAAATAAGGGCAAGTATTGTTTCCTTAAACTGTTTCAGATACATATATACACATATACACAAATGTGTTCTGGGTCATGGTGTAAAATATATATTTTTAATCATAAATCCCAGTCAAAAAGGTCTAAAAGCTATTGCTTTAATGCATTGTGCCCCACCCCCAAGACAAGCACCCAGAACCCAAGTAGACAAAGATTTTAGGAAAATAGTAATAAGACTATCTGCTTAAGTTAATTTATTCTCTTTTTAAAAAAATATGTCTTTATTTAATTTTAGTATTTATTATTAATTTTATTTGACCAAAGAGACAGAGAGAGCTAGCAAGAAAGGAAAAAGTCAGAAAACAAGCTGCCAGGTCTGGGACTCGAACTGTGGTCGGCCATGTAGGAGTCTAGCACCTCAACCACCATGCCACCTGTTGGCCTCTGATTAAGTTATTTGCCTTTTTTTTTTTTTTTGACTAGAGGGTGTGTGCATTCTGAGAGAGAGAGAGAGAGAGAGAGAGAGCGAGCGAGCATCTCCCCCTGGGGAATGGTCACGCTACAATCCCTTCTCCTTCGGGAATTTTGGACATGCACACACATGGGCCTGGTGTTTTTCAAGCTGCTGGGTCCAGGACTAATCCTACACAGTCAGCCATGTGGGATCTAACCACTTTAACCACATCACTAGATGTCCCAGAAGTTATTTACACTTTAAAATGTGAATGATACACCCCACTAACTTTCCCTTGAGGGTAGGTCATTTAGAGAGACATGCTTTTAACCCAAATTAATCTCTAACCAGTAGAAAGTGAATCAGAAATCATTTTGGACTACAGGCTTCTTGGTACCACCCGCAAGGATTTCCTCTAGTATCCCAGTTCCCCAAAAGAGCTGAGTTCAGGAAACAGGAACTCCCTTGCCGAAAGGCTACTGATTTCTAGGTTACAATACACAGAAGCAGTGACACTTTCACGAGGGAGACACATTTACAAGAGAAATGCAATCCTTCCACGTCATGTCAACTTCCATGGCCCTGCGTGTATTTATGCCTAGAAGTACAAGCCTACGTGTCACATGGAGGAGCCAGCTACACCTGGTATGAGGCTCTGTGAAGCCTCAGGTTGATCTAAAAACGAGAAATTCTTCAGGTTACTGAGGGCACCGGTATAGGAAGGGAGACAGCAGAAAAGGCAAGAGGACGGGGAGGGGGTAGATGTATTACACCAAGCGTTCACTGCAGATGGGTAACCAGAGAAGAGGGGTGAGAGGGAGAAAATGACTTCCTAGCCCGCTCTGCACCCCAGGACGGCACATAGCAGTAGCTCATCAGCGTGGATGGGAGGTATTTGATTATGTCAGGGCACAAACAGCAAATTCTGAGTCCTAATCCCAGCCCCGGCTCCTTATAAATGTGTTGCTACTTGATTTCAGTTTCAATTTAAAGTTGGAGAAATCAACAGTGAGCTTCCTAACTTCTGAATGTAAACATTCGTAATTGCCAATTACAATCTCAACAAATAACTGGGTCAGACTCAAGGCCAAAAGAATAAAAAGTTCGTAGTCAGGGTGGTGCAAAGAACTCTAGGTTGGGGTGCTGATAAATCTGGGTTATGCTGGGGTCACACAGGGCCAGCTGCATCGCCGAAGGTCCCCTCTAAAATGTTACAATCCTCAAAAGAAGAAAAGGTGACTTTACTTGGAAGTCAGAAAGATCATCTTGGTTGGCTCAGTAATGGGCAAATAACACGGATATTAGTTAGCTAAGGTTGTTTAAATATGAATAATGCCTCTCTCAGTATGGAGATCGGGTTAACACCCTTTGGTGATATCCCATGGCAGTGTCTCCGCTGAGGGATACATTCCAAACTTCTTTCTGGCTTGTAAGCCCTTCACATCTGCCCAACTTTTATCTCAAACTTTTTACGACTCCTATCTGTAACCAGCTCTTGCCCCAGTCCTTTCCTTATCAACACTTCAGCTTTTGCTTAATTCTTCCCCACCCTTACTCTCTGAACTAAGTTCTGTAACCTTCATAAACCCTTCCAACTACTCAGATGATATGTACATTTATTTCTGATCATGACCTTTTCATTTCTACAGGACTCTACAGCGATGCTATGTGGAAGGCACTGTGGTCCCCTTTCACAGATTAGAAAATTAGGCCTAGTGGGCTTGGGGCTTGCCTAGGGACCACTGTCTGACAGTGGCAGCCAGCCTGGGTCTGATTTGTTTGCTTTCGAAGGCCACTTTTTTTCATTGTACCACATTGCCTCCCTGTATTAAAAAACCATGGAGTAAGGATGCAGTAAAAAAAGCCTATAAACCAGTTATAACACAGCTTGTTGTGATATAAATGCACATGCACCACATCCTTTGAACCATATGGGTAATAAATGCTTGGAATAGCATGGACAGCTCTAAAGGCGGTTGTCAGTCCTGTTTACCAAGCCCAGTATTAAATGACAGGTGGGTGACTAAAGAAACAAGAAAGGAAATGGTTTACGAAGAAAATATTAGAAACGGGAGAGAGAAGAGATCGAAGTGTAATATAAGCAAGCAATGCATATAACACAGAGGCTCAGAATATGGAAGTATGTAATATGGGGCTGAGAAGGCCCCACGGCGAAAACACTCCCGCTGGGGGCTCAGGCTTACAGATACGATGCGCGCGTGTGGGGGGCTGTTATTAATAACAGGCAGAAGACACATGGACAGAGAGCGGAACTCCAGACAGCGACAAACAAGGGCAGGTCGTGGGGGCTAGGGTGGAGCATGGCACGATGACAGGGAGGGGGCCGAGCGAGGGGCCAGAGGGCACAGCAGGGGTCGAAGAGAAAGGTGAAGAGGTTCGGAGGGCATAGCGCCCCCAGACCCGAAGCGGGACTCCTGCCTTCCCTTCAGTAACTGGCTGGCGTGCTTCAGGATTTACGTCCGCACCCCACAAAGCCCTCTTGGGGGGCTCCGGGAAGAGAGGGACGTCCCGCCCCCAGTGCTCCTCCGTTCCCCGGGGGCTCCGCGAGGGGGCGGAGGGAGGCAGGAGGGTCCTTACCCAGGAAGATGGAGATGATGAGCCGCAGAGCCTGTTCCGACGCGCCCAGGGACGTAGCCAACTTGTTAAGGCTCAGCTCCTCGAAAGCCGACAGCAGCACCCCCGACAGCTCAGTCCTCGTTCCCACGTCCCCCTCCGCTGCGGACGCCATCTTAACTTCGGGCGCCCCCCCAGGGACCCCCAGCTCCGCGCGCCCCGAATGTGGGCACAACGCTGTGGCTTCACCCCCAATTCCGGCCCGGGCCCCGCCCACGGCGTGCGCATTGGCTGCAGGCACGCCCAGGGGCTCCAGGCTCGCCAGGCTATTGGCCAGTCTCAGCTTGGGGCGGGGCCTAGCACAGCAAGGTAGGAAGAGGGCGGGGCCGAGCGTTTGTAAGGCAAAGGTGACTCCTGGCGAGAATGGGAACGGCGGCAGGGGGCGGGCGGGGCTTGGACTGGGCACCCAGGGCTGCTATTGGAAAGGCTGAAGCCCGCGGCGTGGGGGCAGAACAACTCTGTCCTAACCGCTCGTGGGCGGAGTCCGTCAGAGCGAGTGTCCGGCCGGCTCACTCTCGGTCTTCCCATTGGCTGAGACGGAGCAGGCGAGAGTCGGAGCGGGAGGGGGGCCGTTTCCCCCTCCGCGAGGTTACTCTCGGTCGCCGGCGCGCTGGGGTTACTGGGGCATGTAACGGGGAGGCGGGAATCCTGCCGCAGCGCCGCGAGCGCCTCCTAACGGCGCCTCCCGGCAGTTCTCTCGGCCGCGAGCCGTTACACGCGCCACCCTCACTCGCAATCTGGGGAGGCCCCAGTGTCCCAGAAGCACCATTTGTCTGCCCTTTTTATTTCGTGGACGCCTTTTCAGTGCTGTTTCCTATAGTAAAACGTGACTTCCCCAGGGAAGTGATGAAAGTTAGGTAGGCCTGTGAAACATTATTTTAAATGTTAGACTAATTTCGTCACTATTTAAGGAATTACATGTTCATTGAATTACAAGTTCAAACAGTGCAGAAACAGAAAACAAAATAAGAGTCCTTTCTTTCCACCCTGCTTCTTATTCTCAGTTCCTACAGGTAATCCTGTTCAGATCACACACATACATACACACACACACACACACACACACACGTGCGCACGCGCGCATGTGCCAGAAATTGTGCTGGGTGAGTCTGAAGCCATGGAGCGGGGGTTGCAATGACAGCTGAACGGAGGAGTACTTGAGAGCAAAGGTGAGCCCTCAGGAGGACAGGATCCAGGGCGTATGAGCGTGTAACAAAGGAACAGGATGCCTTGTAATAACTGAACTTTGTGGAGCATGCTAGTGCAACTGCAGCCTGTGTTTATGCTTCTATAGCGCCTTGCAGTTTACAAAGCACTTTTACCCACAGTATTTCACTTCATTTCACTGGGCAACAGGGTATTTACTAGGATGGCCTTTTACAGGCACAGAGGCTTGCAGAAATGAGGGAACTTGCAAAGTTCCTTTCCCAGTAAGTGGCAGGACAGAATTTAACCTGAGGTTTGTCCAATTTCTCCTCTTTCTTTTTTGGACAAAAATTTTAAAAAACATAAAATAGTTCATTCACACAGACAAGCGGAGAGTGATATGCCATCCCCAGATTTTATTTTATTTTTTTGAGAGATTTTTACTATAGGGCATGTGCGCTCGCCAGACAGAGAGAGACAGAGAGACAGAAAGCAGGAAATCACCCCCCAGGGGGGATGGCCACAGCGCAATCCCTTCTCCTCCATTCTCCTCTCGGGATCTTGGGCACTCACGCACACACACCCGGTGTGAGTTTAAGCCACCGGGTCCGGGACTCGAACCGCGGTTGACTACGTGGCAGTCCAGCGACATAGCCATTATGCTAACTGCTGGTCCCCATCCCCAGATTTTAAAACAAGCACCACACATGCTGCTGAAGAGCCTGGCACACTGTGTACCCCTACCTGCAGCATCACCCTCCTTCCCCTCTCAGGGGTCATCTCCTCGCTGACTTGTGCTTATCGACCACAGCCTGTGTTTATACTTTACATACTGTGTGTATTCAGAAACAATATACAGTTTTTCATGCCTTTTAAACAAGCTTATTCTATTCATGATAGCTTATGAGAGAGGGAAGCACCCTGGACAGGGTTTCATCAGACATGGATCCCCTTCCTCCAGCCCTTTAGCTAGTCTGAACCCCACCAGCCAGTGTGGCTCCAGTACTGTAGTCAGTCGGCTATGGGCTGCACCACCTAGGCAGGGCAGTCTTCCACACTTTTAAACTTTACATACAAATTAAACAATATATATCATTAGAGGGTCATATGCTTGCTGAAAAGAGACAGAGAGAGGGAGAGGAGAAAGCACGCTCCCCATGGGGCATGGTCATGCCACAGTCTCTTCTGCACTTCTCCCCTTTCTTGGGATTTTGGGCACGCATGCCCAAAATACTCTCAGGTCTGAGAATTGAACTGAGAGATTGGCCATATGGGATCTGGCTGCGTTTTTTTTTTTTTTTTTTTTTTTTTTGAGGATTTTTTTTTGGGCGCGTGCCCTCGCTGGAGAGACAGAGAGACAGAAAGGAAGAAATCACTGCCCAGGGGGCATGGCCACACCGCAGTCCCTTCTCCATTCTCCTGTCGGGATCTTGGGCATGCATGCACACATGCCTAGTGTGAGTTTTAAGCCACCGGGTCCGGAACTTGAACCACGAACTACATGGGAGTCCAGTGATATTACCATTACGCTCTATTGGCCTCGGGATCTGGTTGCCTAACCACCAGGGCGTGGAGCAAGCCCTAAGCTTTATGCTAATGATATTATAATGAATGTATTGTTTGCAAGGTGATTTATGCTTAACATAAAGTTAATGGGTCACACCACAATCCTTTTCCCTCCATGTCTGTCAGGATTTTAGGCACAGATGCCCAACGTTTTTTATTCTATTCCATTTCATTAAAAAAATCGCCAACCAGGGGACCAGCAGGTGGCGTAATGGTTACATAGTAGTTAACTGTGATTTGAGTCTGGATCTGGCTGCTTCAAACTCAGCTAGCTCTATGTGCGCACCTGAAATCCCAAGAGGAGAATGGGGGAGAAGGGAATGCAGCGTGGCCATCCTCCTGGGGGTGATTTCTTTCTTTCTGTCTCTCTTGTCTCTCCAGCGAACACACACACCCTCTAGCAGAAATTCTTTTAAAAAATTGCCTACCAGGACTCCCTAGCTTAATTGTAATACTTACTAGCAGTTTATAGCTCTTACTTTAGAAAATACCCCTTAGGGTTTGTATCCAGGAAGGGAATTATAGATTGCAAGGTGTGTACACCTGTAACTTGACTAGATTTTCCAGTTAAAGTTTGACTAGATGTTATTTAATACTCCTGAAACATCTGATATGCTGAGCTTAGTAAAATATATTTGTCAGCTAGGCTCTGTTTAAAAATGTAGAAAGTGGCTCGGGTTCTTTGATGTTGTACTGACTTGCAGCACTACAAGTCACGTGGTGACAGCAGTTCAAATCCCTGCCCTGGTCAGTCTGAAAACATCCTGGGTGTGTGAGTGAGTGCCCAGGACCCTGAGAAGCTGAAGGACTGAAGGAAGAGTGTTTCGGTGTGACCGGATCCTATGGAGGGTTCCTCTCTCTCTCATGTGCATGTCCTCTCTCATTTTTAAAAAATGAGGTCAGCTTCTCTTTGCGTTATATGACTAGGTGACATGTTTTCTCCTTGCATCTCTGCGGTTCTGAAAGAAGGTGGGCACAGGACAGAGGCTGGGTTTAGGCTGACACCACAGGTGCCTCTTTGCCTTCTCCTCAGGTGTTTGGTCAGCCACATTCTCTTCATTCTTCCCTCCGTCTCCAGTTACACTGGCTGGTGACAGGGAGAAGAGATAAGATTATATGGCCTGAGGGCCAGCCGGTGGCGTGGTGGCTAAGGACGCTGAACTCCCGCATGGCTGACCACAGTCTGAGTCCCAGACCTGGCACCTTGCTTTCTCACTTTCTCTACCTCGGTCCCTCTCTGGTCAAATTTTAAAAAATAAACTAAAATAAAATTTTAAAAAAGGTTATATGGACTTCTACTTTATAACAATGCACTTACTGAGGGCTTCATCAGTCCGGTTCTGTGCTAGAGCCTCAGAATACAAAGATATGTGAGAAATAACCCCTGCCCTCCAGAAGATCTGTGTCCTGTGGGAGGAGAGAGATGAGGACGATTACAAAACAAAAACTTAGCCTGTTTGTGCTGCTATGACAAAATGCCTGCAAGTCATAAATAGTAGAAATGTATTTCTCACAGCTCTGGAGACTGGGAAGCCCATGATCAAGGCACCAGCAGGCTTGGTGTCTGGTGGGGGCCTCTCTCTGTTTCTGAGATGGTGCCTTGAACATAACTTTCTTTGGAGGGACTAACTCTGTTCTCGCAGAGCAGAAGGGAAGGAGGGGGATGAACCCAGTCCCTTGAGCCGTTTTATAAGGGCTCCAATCTCATCCTAAACGTCTCATCTCTTTGAAGTTTATTTTGGGGCTAACCGGTGGTGTGGTGGCTAGGGTGCTGGATTCCCACATGGCCAACCATAGTTCAAGCCCTGGGCCCAGTGGCTTGAGCTCTGGACCTGGTGGCTTGAAAATCACAACAGATAAATAGATAGACAAATAATTAAATAAATAAATGTAAAAAATAATTTTATTTCCTCTGAGAGAGAGGCAGAGACAGAGAGACAAAAAGATAGAGATAAGTGGGCACCCCCAATAGGGTCCTCATGCCACGATCCCAAGAAGGGAATGGATGAGAAGGGATTGTGGTGTGGCCATTCCCCCTGGGGGGTGATTTCTCGCTTTCTGTCTTTCTGTCTCTCTCTGTCTTTCTGGGGAGCACATGTGACCTACAGCAAAAAACTCTCCAAAAAAATAAAATAAATAAATAATTCTTAAAAGAAAAAAGAAAGGGATTCTGGTTCCTATGGCTTGCCTTAGGTATGAGGGGTGGTAGATAGGAGGGCAGAAGGTCAGAGAGGAACTCTGACCTCGAGGCTGTCACACTTTGGGGGTCATAACACTGTGCCATCCATCCCCAAATTCAGTATTTCTCATGTCTCTTCTCCCAAGAATCCCTTAACCATCAGGCTGCAAGGCCAACCTGATCCTTTTTTAAAAGATTTTTTTGTCATAGGGTGTGTGTGCTTGCTGGAGAGAGACAGACAGAGAGATGGGTGGGGGGGTGAGAAATCACCCCCAGGAAGGATGGTCACACAACAATCCCTTCTCCTCCAGTCTCCCCTAGGTATTTTGGGCATGCAGCATGATTTTCAAGCCACAGGGTCTGGGACTCGAACAACACGGCCATGGGGGACACAGCCATCTTAACCACCACACCACTGACTGACCTTGACACCACAATCCACCCCATCTTATCCAGCCTGGATAATGGGCACGCATGCCCTGGCATTTGGGCAGGTCTTTGGATGTGAACCTGGAATCTTCTCATGTGGCGTCAGCCTTGAAGAGCGTTGCATTTTACTGCCCTGTCACTATCTGGCTCTAGTTTCTATTTCTTTCTTTCCTTCAGAGAGGTTTTTGCTACAGGGCGTGTGCACTCGCCAGAAAGACAGAGAGAGAAAGAGAGACAGAAAGCGAGAAATCACCCCCTGGGGGGATGGCCATGCTGCAATCCCTTCCCCTCCATTCTCCTTTCGGGATCGTGGGCACGCACGCACACGCGCCTGGCGTGAGTTTAAGCCACTGGGTTTGGAACTCCAACTGTGGTCGACTACGTGGGAGTCCAGCGACATAGCCATTACGCCCACTGCTGTTCCCCAGTTTCTATTTCTTAATGTTGGCAACTAATAAAATATTTTTGAAACTTTTTATTTTTTAGGCATGCACCACCTTTGTTGGGCTCAGACCAGGAGTCCACAGGTCTTGAGGAGCTCTGTGTATTTGCCAGTTTTCTTTGCCATATTCTTTCCAGCCTGTGTCGTAACCTCACGAACTGTTTCGCCTTCCAGCAGTGCTCCTTGGCCTTCTCCTTCTCGTCCTCCTTCAGGGTGGCCGTCACTGCCTGGTACTCCCAGATGATCTCGTGAGCTGGGTGCCCCAAGTAGGCAAACTTTCTTGTAGGCTTCAGTCGTACAGCCTTGAGAGCAGCGGGCACCACCATCCGCTTTTCCTTACCATAGGGGGCGGGATCCTGTAGCTCACCCTGAGGCGGTCCAGGGCGGCCTGACTGCACTTGGTCTTAAGCAGCAGCATGCCTCGCGCGGCCTGCCAGGAAATGCGGCTGGGTGGGGAAGTGGTTGGCGCCATGGGAGGGACTGGTGCTCATCTGCTGACGGAGGAAGGCCAGGACCTTTAATCCTGTAGAAATTGCCAGAAATGCCGATGCCCTCATAGCGTGTGACTGTCACCGACCAGCACCTGCTTGGCTACGATGCCAGGCCACCGCGAGGACGCCCAGGAGACAGCCTTGGCCACTGAGCACCAGGACCTGCCCCTCTGCCGTCTTCAGCAGCCGCCTGGAAAAGTCTAATAAAATCTTAAAATGTGGGGCCAGCAGGTGGCCTGGTGGTTAAGGCTCTGGACACTCCCACATGGCTGACCACAGTTCGAGTCCCAGACCTGGTGACTTGCCTTCTCACTCTCCCCCTCTTTCTCTCTGAGTCTCTCTCTGGTCAAATTAAAATAAATGGATGAATAAACAAAATAAAATAAATAATTCTTTAAAAAAAAAAACCCAAAACCTTAAAATGTTGTATAATCCGGTACCATAGAAGATAAACCAAACACGTTTGCTGGCCAGGTTTGGCTACATGCCACTCATTCATAGACTCTGCTTTGATGTATTTTCCGTCCTTTCTGATGGTTTCACCAGAGTAGTGGGGGCTGAGGGCAGTGGTCCCAGCCTGGCTTGGGATTCTGACATATCACCTGTCTCTGGTAACCGGGTGAGGTGGGTTTACCGATAATCTATTGAGTATTTGCATAAGGGGCCTCCTGGGCTAGGTCTCGCCCAAAAGGAAGAAGGGACCTGTCAGGATAAGCTCAGCTTAGCAGAATCCCAGGGCTGGAGCTGACCTCTGACTGTGCTGGACTGCAACTCTGTGAGGGCACGTCCTGTGTCCCCTTTGTCAATGCTCTACTTGTGGAGCCTAGCACAGAGCCTGGGACATGACAGATACACCTGGGAGCATTTATGGGCCGACTGATATTCAAAGCATATGTTCCCTACCTGTCCGTCAATGTGGTTTTCACCTCAGTCCAGAGGAATTCATATCTGGATCCTGCAGGATTGAGGTAAAAATACAGGGATCCTGTCACTGAAAACTCTGTGAGGCATTCGGGGGATTTTCCCACTGCCTCAGTACTCCCTAAGAAGAATAACCCCAAAGAGGAGGTGGTATTTTCTTTCTCTCCCATTCCTGGGCAGTTTTTCTGTGTAACAGCAGGGGGCTCTGTCCAGCAGATGGTGCTGCTGAGCGCTGCTGGGTGACTGGACAAGAGAGAAACACAAGGCTGGAGTTCCCCGTATGTGGGTGGTTCGGTGGGGGCAGAGCCAGAGGAATGTTAATGGGACCCCGTTTGTGTCCACAGGCTGGGTAATTATGGGTTATAGCAGGGTTTGTGGTAGAGACGAGTAACTGCTCCCCAAACCTTCGCTTTCTGGGCGCATGCACTGCAGTTGTGTGGTCTGTGGTTGAGTATCTAGACTGTGGGAACATGAGTAGATGTTACGTGGACCACACGTGGGCGTGGCCCATAGGAACCTCCCTGCTGTGCGATCCTCCATGTTCACTTCTCACAGTGACCTGGACAATGGCAGGGCCTTTTCTGTCCTGGGTCTAGAATCTGTAAAATGCTGAATTTTAAAACACATACAGCTTTGGGACCAGCAGTTGGCATAATGGCTATGTCACTGGACTCCCAGGTAGTCGACACTGGTTCGAGTCAGGGACTCGGTGTCTTAAACTCACACCAGGTGCGTGTGTGTGCATGCCCAAGATCCTGAGAGGAGAATGGAGGAGAAGGGATTGCGGCGTGGCCATCCCCCTGGGGGGTGATTTCTCGCTTTCTGTCTCTCTGTCTCTCGCTGTCTGTCAGGGGAGCGCATGCGCCCTATAGTGAAAAACCTCTCAAAGAAAAAAAAAAAAAAAGGTTCAGCTTTTCCTTTTTTCTCAAGCTGCTGAGTCTGGAATTCGAATCGCCCATGGCCATGTGGGATCCAGCTGCCTTACCAACAAGGTTGTGGACGGGCCCTCCTCTTAGTATTAATCTCCTTTTCCCACAAACCACATGACTTCCCTGGAAATTCTGAAACACCCCCTTTGGCTGAAAATGAGCACTGAGCAATGGGTGAAATCCCCTATTCCTTCATCCTCCCCAGCAGCCTTGGATGAAGGGCTTGCAGCCTGGGAGGCTGCAGCTCTGGTTTGAAAAGCAGAGGGAGCTCCAGGATCAAGGCTGTTGTATAATCCGGTACCATAGAAGATAAACCAAACACGTTTGCTGGCCAGGTTTGGCTACATGCCACTCATTCATAGACTCTGCTTTGATGTATTTTCCGTCCTTTCTGATGGTTTCACCAGAGTAGTGGGGGCTGAGGGCAGTGGTCCCAGCCTGGCTTGGGATTCTGACATATCACCTGTCTCTGGTAACCGGGTGAGGTGGGTTTACCGATAATCTATTGAGTATTTGCATAAGGGGCCTCCTGGGCTAGGTCTCGCCCAAAAGGAAGAAGGGACCTGTCAGGATAAGCTCAGCTTAGCAGAATCCCAGGGCTGGAGCTGACCTCTGACTGTGCTGGACTGCAACTCTGTGAGGGCACGTCCTGTGTCCCCTTTGTCAATGCTCTACTTGTGGAGCCTAGCACAGAGCCTGGGACATGACAGATACACCTGGGAGCATTTATGGGCCGACTGATATTCAAAGCATATGTTCCCTACCTGTCCGTCAATGTGGTTTTCACCTCAGTCCAGAGGAATTCATATCTGGATCCTGCAGGATTGAGGTAAAAATACAGGGATCCTGTCACTGAAAACTCTGTGAGGCATTCGGGGGATTTTCCCACTGCCTCAGTACTCCCTAAGAAGAATAACCCCAAAGAGGAGGTGGTATTTTCTTTCTCTCCCATTCCTGGGCAGTTTTTCTGTGTAACAGCAGGGGGCTCTGTCCAGCAGATGGTGCTGCTGAGCGCTGCTGGGTGACTGGACAAGAGAGAAACACAAGGCTGGAGTTCCCCGTATGTGGGTGGTTCGGTGGGGGCAGAGCCAGAGGAATGTTAATGGGACCCCGTTTGTGTCCACAGGCTGGGTAATTATGGGTTATAGCAGGGTTTGTGGTAGAGACGAGTAACTGCTCCCCAAACCTTCGCTTTCTGGGCGCATGCACTGCAGTTGTGTGGTCTGTGGTTGAGTATCTAGACTGTGGGAACATGAGTAGATGTTACGTGGACCACACGTGGGCGTGGCCCATAGGAACCTCCCTGCTGTGCGATCCTCCATGTTCACTTCTCACAGTGACCTGGACAATGGCAGGGCCTTTTCTGTCCTGGGTCTAGAATCTGTAAAATGCTGAATTTTAAAACACATACAGCTTTGGGACCAGCAGTTGGCATAATGGCTATGTCACTGGACTCCCAGGTAGTCGACACTGGTTCGAGTCAGGGACTCGGTGTCTTAAACTCACACCAGGTGCGTGTGTGTGCATGCCCAAGATCCTGAGAGGAGAATGGAGGAGAAGGGATTGCGGCGTGGCCATCCCCCTGGGGGGTGATTTCTCGCTTTCTGTCTCTCTGTCTCTCGCTGTCTGTCAGGGGAGCGCATGCGCCCTATAGTGAAAAACCTCTCAAAGAAAAAAAAAAAAAAAGGTTCAGCTTTTCCTTTTTTCTCAAGCTGCTGAGTCTGGAATTCGAATCGCCCATGGCCATGTGGGATCCAGCTGCCTTACCAACAAGGTTGTGGACGGGCCCTCCTCTTAGTATTAATCTCCTTTTCCCACAAACCACATGACTTCCCTGGAAATTCTGAAACACCCCCTTTGGCTGAAAATGAGCACTGAGCAATGGGTGAAATCCCCTATTCCTTCATCCTCCCCAGCAGCCTTGGATGAAGGGCTTTCAGCCTGGGAGGCTGCAGCTCTGGTTTGAAAAGCAGAGGGAGCTCCAGGATCAAGGCTGAGTTCCCCTTTCCCTAGGCCGTGGTCTCCCAGCTTCCTCTCTGTTTAGATCAGGGGATTTCGGACATGCACACACAGGCAGGGATCAGAAGAACAGAACCGGGGCAGGGAGGCTGGCTGGAGGTTCCTGCAGAGGGTGCGTCGGGCCAGGTGCCCTGGGAGCCTGCAGTGTCGCCCAGCTAGCTGCTGCAGGAGAGAGGGACGGGCCCACTTGCTTTCATCAGCTTTTGAAGGTAAAAACCTTGCAAAGAGCAGAGCTTTAACGGAGGAAAGAAGAAAGACGAAAAATTGCACTAAGGCAGGTTTTGGGGAAAGATGGGAATGGGAGGATTTGGAAAAAGCAAAATAAAAAAGATAGAGTACAAACAACCTATTTACTCCTCTTAGGTTGGCCCTCTTCATGCCCACTTACCTCACCACACACCACTGCTTTCAAGGGTAAAAGACTATTTTGGCAAGACTTTTCTAGAAACCGTGGGAACATGTTTCGTTTGTTTAAGGAAGAAAAAGTAAAAAGGAACGAGAAAAGAAACAATCACAAAGAAATCCTGGAAAATTAGTGGAGGGCATTTCCTTCCCTACCTTTCCTGTCCTCTTCATTTCTTGTCACCCAGCTGTCCCCACACGGCCCTGTGTGAGAGGCTGGCCCTGGCCTTTTTAGACCACTTCTTCCAAGCCGTCTGCAGTTCTCTGCTACAAGCTGCTCATCCCATCATGGCCCTAGGGAGCAACAGCAGAAATAAACGTAAGGGGACCAGCAGATGGCTTAGCGATTATGTCTCTGGACTCCCACATGGTCAACTGTGGTTACAGTCCGGGACCTGGTAGCTTAAAACTCATACCGGGAGTGTGTGTGTGTGTGTGTGTGTGTGTGTGTGTGTGTGTGGCCAAGATCCTGGAAAGAGAATGGAGAAGAGGTTGCAAAGTGGCCATCCTCCCTGGAGGGTGATTCTCACGTTCCTTCTCACTGTCTGTTTCTCTCTCTCTCTCTTTTAAAAAGAGTTACTTTATTTAACTTCATTTATTTACTTTAATTTGACCAGAGAGAGACAGAGCAAGAGAAAGAGAGGAGAAGTGAGAAAGCAAGCCACCAGGTCCAGGGCTCGAACTGCAGTCAACCACGTGGGAGTTCAATGCCCTCAAACGCCACATCTCCTGCTGGCCCCTATGTCTCTCTCTCTTCTGTGAGCACACATGCCCTAAGGCAAAAACACTCTTAAGAAAAAAAAAAAGAAAGAAAAGAAAATAAATGCACACAAGAATGAACATCCCAGCGAGGCTGGCTGGGAGAGGGGGCTCTTTGTGAAGTAGGAGGAGACTTGTCCTAGGGAGTTGGTCACCGTGGGCGGAGACTTCTGAGAACTCCAGATGGGGACCAGCAGGTGGCCAGGTGGTTGAGGTAGCCGGATTCCACGTGGTGGGCTGCGTGGTCTGAGTTCTGGAAACGGCAGCTCGAATACGCATCAGTGCCTGTGCTTGCCTGCCCAGGACCCTGAGCAGAGGGTAGAGGGGAGGGATGGCAGGGACCGGCAAGCTTTCTTTCCCCTCACTCGCTCTGCCTCGTCTGGTGAGAGCATGTGCCCTCTGGCAAATTAAAACAAACAAGACCCCAAGTTCCACGTGGAGATGGGGATATCGTTCTGTGAGGGCAGGGGAGACACTGGTAGAGTCGGGGTGAGGGACGCAGGAGAACAGAGGACGAAGGAAACTGGGAGAAATGACTCTTCCCTTTGGGGGGAACTCAGAGAAGGTCAGGGAAGCAGTGGGGGAGAGCGAGGTTCAGTCCCAGACTCAACAGCTAGTCGTGGGGGACCAGGGGGTGTGAGAGCCAAACGGCGGTGGTGATCTGGCTCTGACTAACCCGTG